TGGTGTGTCTGTGATATTGGTGGCAGCTGAGTTGATAGCTATCAGCTAACACAGTTCATGCCCAGGCTTAGTACAGTTGAAGTAACTGGATTAGAATGGATCCTGCCTGTTCACTCAGACCACCATCCCTAAATCATAACACTGTACTCCTCCCACAATTACCTTTTTAACTTCTTAAGTGAGGCACTGGAGGAGGTCACACCAAAATATGGAGGGAGCCACATCAATACTGGCATTGCGACTAACTTCCTTTTTCTTTTTTGCAAAGTCCATAAGCCTAATGGCAAAACTCACATACAAATGCCGCTGTGGGGTTGCCTTGACAGCATGACCAACAGATGATAACCAAAAGAGGGGATGGAATGACCTCTCAATTTTATTCAATTTCCCACAAGTCTCCAGCATTTTTAAAAAAATATCCTGTCATAATGTTAGTATGTATTTAAAAAATAAGCACATTTTTATTGCAGATTTGCTTAATATACAAATTTTGGAGGCAATTTTCTCTAATATGGTACAGTTTTGTATGCCATTTTCACTATCATATTTTTCTCCACATTTTCTCCCTAATACATGCATTTTTGTAAACATTGTTTGAATAACTGCATCACAAAAGTGCAAATTTCTCATATTGTATTATACAGTGTGAATTTGATAAATTTGTCTTTAAATGCAAACTGAATCAAATTTCTACCCCATCCCTAGCATGGGTAATGCTAATAGCAGCAACACAGCTGAACCACTAGATAAACTAGGGATTTTTTTCTTGGCCAGGCTTCCTCAACCTCGGCCCTCCAGATGTTTTGAGACTACCATCATCCCTGACCACTGGTCCTGCTAGCTAGGGATCATGGGAGTTGTAGGCCAAAAACATCTGGAGGGCTGAGGCTGAGGAAGCCTGTTCTAGGCTATCAGCTGCCATCACTGCCAGATTCTGCTTGGCGACTCAGAAAAGAGACAAGGAGAAAACAGTCCTATCAAGGCTCTACAAATACAGAGAAGAGAGACCCCCAGTTAAAACTATTCCCACTTGTCTCACATCCAGTTGTGAAAGAGAGGGAGCATTTTTTACTGATACTCTCCACAGAGTGTTCATCAGTGTTTTTAAGATGGGGGTATCTTTCCTGACAAGTCATGTGAAGTTGTCAATGTTCTGGTAAGGGTGGGGATGCAAAAAAAAGAGAGAAACCAATCTGACATACTCACTACAAATAAAATTTTGTTAGAGTTCATGTTGCTTCTTGCGTGAAGCTTGAATTCTGCTGTTCTGCATTAGTGCTATCAAATTCCCAGTTCTGAGGATTTTCTGCCACTATGTAGGATTCTAAATGTCATGGAATGTGATTCTAAGCAACGAAGCATGTACATACAAACAAGGCAAATGCACAGGTGCATTGCATCAGTATGCAGTATGGGTGTGAAATACAAGGTGTGTTGCAGAAGCACACACTATGCATAGGAATTACAGTAGGCCCCTGTATAATTTATTGGGCTGCAGCAAGAGAAGATTTCTAGATACACCCCTGTATACATTGCAAATGAATCCAATATAAATTTTGTCTTTAGATATATTGTCCCTAAAAATTAAACGTGCTGCTTCTGGTGTCAGTCAAGTCAGTCAGTAACAGGGTGTCAGTCAGTCTGGTGTAAAAATATAGTTATCATTTTTAAGAAAGGACTATGCATTCTTCACAGTTGAAGGTAAAAATGATATTAATACATGATGCAGTGAAAAGGGCAGAGGTTTCAAATCACTCTTCTGCCTCTGGACCTTGCAAAATCTTGTTGTTTCAGAGCCATGTTCTCTACAAACTGCATGTTCTTCTCGCTGGTTGTGTATCCTAGTCAACTGGGAATCAAGTAGCCAACGTGATGACATTGCAGTACCATGTAACCAGTTCACGACATTGGCAAGAATCTTTCTGTCCCCATTAAGAGTTCTTCCACACTTCAATTTGTCCCATGACTACTAGGCACGGGTCCAAGAGGTTTTCCTTTCGCCCTGCCATTTCCCCTGGGAAAACGTACTATTTACTACTGAATCGAAACAGATGTCAATCGGGTTTTCTGCGGATCACTGTTTGTTCTGATTCAGCAGTAGACAGCAGGTTTTCCTGGGGAAACGGCAGGGCGAAAGGAAAACCTCTTGGACCCATGTCTGGAAATCATGGGACAAAGGGAAGTGTGGATGTGCCCTCACAGGGAGCCATGCTGTGAGCACATTTGTCCCTCCTCAGTCGCCCAAAGTGGATGCTTATGATGCAGGAGGCAGGGTGTTCTCAAGAAGTCCACTCTTCATTTCATTTCAGATCTTCTCAAGATTACTGTTTTTTACACTGTAAATGCTCCTATTAGGATAGCTGTAAGGTATGGGGATGTTACTATCTTAGCACTGCAGACGGACTGTGGCTTAATATTGGCAGGAAAGTACTGTAATTATCAGGGTGGCTTATATTTTGGCAGTTACTGGGTAGCATCTTACTTTTCAGTCATTAGTAATCTGTGATTTGTTGCTAAAATTCAATGCATGTGTGCAATGTAAAATATACTTGTCAGGGGGAAAAGGTAGGTTATGTTTCTCTATTTAAACAGCTGTAATTACAACACAAGTTCAAAAAGGCAGCAAAAGTACTGAAAACAGTTTATATAATTTGTGAGTCTTTAAGGAATATGTGGAATCATGAAAATCAGCTTATCAGCTTTTTCTTAAAACATCTGTACACTAAGCAAGGAGAGCAAAGAACTTTGCTGACCAAAAGGAACATTGTTGTGGTATGATTACTGTAACCTCTTCCTTTCCAGTATGTAAGAAACACAGGTTTCTAGCCAAAAACGTCTTCTTGATGTTATCTTAGTTCTTTTCCTTTCCCACAACTTGCTGCAATTCGCTTGTTTGGGGGTTTTTTATTGGGTTTTATAAACAAGAATAATGTTATACAAACAAGTATACCAAGTTACCTCATGGCAGTTGCTCTCCCTGGGACAGTGCTTAAATGAAAGGCTACTAATAGCAGGAGTTATGGACAGTAGAATGAAGAATAATGGTTTACAGTATTATTATTTTTAAAGAACAACAACAAATAACTACACTTAAATAATTGGTGGGGGAAGGTTTCCTAAACTGAAAGATCAGTTAGATAGAATAATTTGATGAGCCAGATACTGAGGCAGGATAAGACAAGGTGTTGATATCTGAGAATACACAGGATGGATGCATGTGAGAGTGTCTCTTACTAATGAAGAAATTGGCTATGATACCTACAGTTTTATACTTTGGAGGCATACATATCACTGTTTCCTTTTTTATACTTCAGTAGCTTTTATAGTAATTCAGCAAATGTGTCTGCATCATTAGTAAAATCTAAGGAGAGAAGTGTGATGAACTTTCTGTGTAGATTACCACAACTTCGCAAGTCTCTTCTATTATGTCTGTTTTACAAGGAAAATAAATATGTTCCACATGAAATCATTAACACAATATGTTTTTTCTTAGTGAACGCCTTGTATGCAGAAATGGGGAGGAGATGTGACTCTGTTTCAAACCGAACTACTATAAAGTGGTGCAGTTAAATATTATATCAACTGTTCTAAATCTGTGTTACAAATGGTATGGGTAGTTGTGCGGGTGCAAAATATTTTATTTAAAGCTGCCCACTGAAGGATTAGGACATTTTGATTGCAATGGAGATGGAGGAATATGTGCAGAACGTATGTCCCAATCAGATTACACACTCATCGGGATTCTGCAGTGCATATTTGTTGCACAAAAAGTTGGGATTGGGACATGCACATTTCTGCCCTGAAAGGCAGGGGTGAATATAATTTTATAACTTGCATTTTAGAGATGTAAAAATATGAATGATTAAGCAGCTTAATTCTATTTTTCCCCTTCCACCCAAATAAAAACTGAGTTGGAGAAGAGAGATAGGTTATATGTGCATGATAGTGGAACTCTTCCCCCAGTCTTACATTCACTATTGTTTTCCTGAGGCTACAGTGGTACCTCGGGTTAAGTACCGTACTTAATTTGTTCCAGAGGTCCGTTCTTAACCTGAAACTGTTCTTAACCTGAAGCACCACTTTAGCTAATGGGGCCTCCCACTGCTGCCGCGCCGCCGGAGCACAATTTCTGTTCTCATCCTGAAGCAAAGTTCTGAACCCGAGGTACTATTTCTGGGTTAGTGGAGTCTGTAACTTGAAGCGTATGTAACCTGAAGCGTATGTAACCCGGGGTACCACTGTATTAGGAACGAAATGTTGTCATATAAATCAAGAAGTGGGAGAAAGTATTGTGCCCCTGAAAAGTCCTGTGCATCGAGCCTCTTAGTTGCAGAATGTTTCACAGTCTCTCCTTATACTAAAACTTGGGGCCATTCAATGAAGCTGAATGCTGGAAAATTCAGGACAGACAAAAGTTCATGGAGGATAAGGTTATCATTGACCACTAGTGGTGATGACTATGTTCTGCCTCTACTGTTGAAGGCAATATGTCTCTGAATACCAGTTTCTGGGAATCACAAGTGGGGAGAGTGCTGTTGTGCTCACGTCCTGTTTGTGGACTTCCAATAGGCATCTGGATAGAAACTGGACTTGATGGGCTCTTTGGCCCGATCTAGCAGGGTTGTTTTTTTAAATAGTCTTAAATTACAAACTCTAAACATAATTTTGCTTAAACTGGGCATATTGTGTGTTAGCAACAGTGAAACACTTTTATCCAACCAAGTGTAGCAAATCCAGATAAGTTCCTTCTTTGCAGAGACAATTAATACTTGTTTGTTTTTCTCAGTGACAAAAGAACTGAGCTGAAAAACAGAATTTTGTCATGGTAGCAGACCCATTTATAAGGACCATGTCATTTTCAAATCATCACAAAGCAATGTGAGAGTGGGAGTGATAGATTTAAAGTGCGGAATAGGAAGGAGGATCTCAGCCTATTCCCCACCCACATTCTTCTCTCTTAAACCATGCTTCTTTAATATATTTTCTTCTGCTGTGGCGACATGAAAGACCAGGACCAAAGCAAGAAACCACTTTTTCAGGATTCCAGGTTAGAGTGGGAGGAGAAAGCAAGTATACCTGTCTATGCAATTTCCAGGCATTCCTCAAGCTCAGAGATTCAAGAAGGTACAGCACATTTCTTCCACCCTCTTTCATATTCAAGCTGGAGAGGGGTAGGCTGAAGCATGTGCGGTTGTCTCTGTCTGCCAGGCACTCTGATTTCAAAGCACCCAGCAGGTACAGAGGCAAAATAATACGACACCCCTCTGCTTTTGTTCAGCTTCAAGCTGAACATTGTTTCTATGCCTATTGGTCATTTCCTTCAACCTCTCCAAGCTTGGAGCTGGAGAGGGAAGTAGAGGAATTGCCTGTGATCTATGCTATGTTTCAGAAATGCAGCAGAAGGTCAGGGCAGCTCCTGGAAACCAGCATGCCCACCAAAAATTTGTGGATACCTGCCAAAGAGACATAGGTGAGGAAAATGAAATTCTGAACTAGTGCTAGCTTTGAAGAAAAGGGAGAAGAATCATGTTCCACATTGCCAAAAATATATATAAATGATTGCCACTTCCATTATAGTTCTTCCAGCAGATATATTATGCTTAACATAATATAAATTTAGTTAATACAGGTTTTTTTCCTCCCAGTGTATGATTTCACAAGTAGGAAATGTTATCTCAAGGTATCTGTTTAGGTAATGTAGTGCTCAAGAGTTTCAAACTGCAGTAAATACAGGGTCTTACTGTATGTTGTTAACATACGGTAATTTTTTGTGAACACGCTGCTTGTTTTTGAACAGCATTGGAGAATGTGTAGCTTCAATTGCATGCTACTGCCACCTAGCATCAGTTAATAGCCTTGTGCTTAGATCTCTGAAATTTCCAGGGGAAAAACTGCATTTGAATTTTGATTTACTTTTTACAATGGCTATGATTCCTTTTTTTAATCAGAGAGGTATAAATAGTTAATTTACTTGAAATAGTCCCTCTCTTTTTAAAAGGTTTTGGTTCTTGTAGATGTAAGTCAGTTCCAACCCAAACCTTTAAGTCAGATAAACTATTTATATGTGAACTTCATGCTGGTTTGAATGAATGTTTCTGTGCCTGAAGAATTGTTACAGATAGGTATATAATTCCAGAGGGTGCCCAGAATATTGTACATTCCCATTCTGGAAATCAAGCACAGTAATGCTAAGCCTCGGACTCCTTGCTCTTCTTGCTGTGGAAACTTCGTCACATCTAGCTGTACAGTCTTCTTTGTATCCAGTAATTAGCATATTTGATGTAATTATGAAATTAGTCATCCCCTACATGACTGCACGTAAACCTCTGCCTTGTCTAAGCACCAGGAGGTTTGTTACGCTGCATGACAACATGTAGAGAAGTAATTGAGAGAGATTGCAACTGCAGATGAAAGTTTCTAATGCAGGTTGCTTTGCGAGAAGCACAATCTGCAAACTTGCACGGTATTACTCTATTGAAAATCAATGCTGCAGTGAACAATTATCCTGTATCTGTTGTCTTTTGATGTTGTGCGCTAATTTATACTTTTCTAAAATATGATATGTTTAAGCAATTTTGCTAATAAGTGGAAACTGTACACTTACATTGTTACTTTATATAATAAATCCTTTATGGGCTGTAATACCAAATGTTAATCAATAGACATGCCAGAATAGCTTCCAATACAACCTTGTAGAGTTTCTTAAATTAATCCTTATTAAAAATATTGACTTGTTGTGACTTACTAGGCTTGCAACTGACAGAGTTTTTCATCCTAATTAGGAGGTTAGGCTCCAGCGCTTAGACTGCAGATAATAATCCAATGATTGTTTGTCTTGAAACATGAAAATCAAATTTTGCCAATTGTCACAATTATGGAAATTACTCAGGCTCTTAAAAACTCTTCTCTAAATATGTTTTCTTTTAAACAGACTCAAGCAGTGCTACTCAAGAGGATTTCTAATAAGGCAAACCAAATGGCATTCTCATATTAAACACCACATCAAAACCTATAACCTCAAATTGAAAGTATTTCAGGAGCACAGTAATTTTATTATATTTATAATTAAGTCGTGCTCTATTATCTAAACTTTTTAGTGGACTGCATGGTGACATTACATTACTGGCAACCATGGTTAATATTTTTTCTTACTAATTTGATAATGAAAGTATATATATTATCCTTGTGTTGCTTTTTTAACAGCAAAAATATAAATATAAAGGAGTTACTCTGCTCACCCCAGAAATATTTTTTTTTTAAATTGGGGCTATAGATTTTTATGTCTTCTTTTCTATAAATATTCATTTGGTAGATTTTTAGATACATATTCATGCTTGTGTGTTAAAAGAAATGTTGTGTTTTCTTTTTTATAAATTGAGTGACTCTTCATTTGACAGTTTGATTTTAAAGATTATACTCTGCCTCCCTTTTTCTACTGTAGCAAATATAGTGCAAATATTGTGAAATGGTCTCTCATTTTTAAATACACAATGCTGGGTCATGTTATATGTTGAATACGAAATTGGAGAAAATTCAATATTACACCTGAGGAGCATATAAGTCTATTATTAAAATACAGAAAGGTGATTTGGTGTTAACACTACTTTAATCATTTACTGGAAGCATAGAAAATGCAACTTTATGAGCAGCTCCAAGCATACAATACTTACAAGTTTTTAAAAACTCACCACCTTATATTTTAAAACATATTTACCTTATTTTAAACATATTTCTATAAAAACATAATTTAAGTATTTAAAAGATAAATGTCACACACACACACATCACATTCTTTAACATCCCTACTTTTTAAAAATCATTTTGTCCTTAAAAATAATGTAAGAATGATGTTTTTAATTAGAAATTAGTCAACACACCAAAACTGAACTATTAATTACGATGCAATTTCTCTGCTGACATAAACTCCATTATTATTATCTACTTACATTTTCTTTTCTCTGTTAATTCTAAACCCCTTGCTAAGTTATATAATGAAAATATTTTACTCTGTGCATATAACTGATTATTATGCAGTACTGCATGTTAAATGAGCAATAAGGAATGTGAAATTAATATTCTTATAGAGTACAATGGTACGGAATCTATTTGAAAGAATAGGATTTCCCACCACAACTTCACTTCAAAATACAATTTTTAGTTGTGAGTGCATGTTCCTGTGTATGTGTATTTTGAAAGTGTATTACTTTAAAGAATTATTGTATAGAAAACAGGTGCAGTATTATAGAATAGCGTCAGGAAGCAGCACGGTTGGACACACTAAAGTGGAAAGGAGCAATGATTGAGTTGACACTCTTAAGAAAGCCTGTCCCTTGACCTTTGGAAAGAGTTTGTGTGGATACAGGGCTGTAATATGGAGAAGAGCTATAAAAATTGTGTTGCACAAGCAGAATTCTGCTTATTCTTCTGTGAATCCAACCCAATAATCATTTTACTGCGAAAGTTGGCTGCAATTACTTGCATTCTGTGGTGTTGTCAATTATACAACTTTTTTCTTCTTCAAATAACACCCCAGTGGTTTTAGATCTAAGGCCTCAAAGCCAGACAGTAAAACTGCATCATTCATGTACTTCCAAACTATACTCTATGCACTGTGTTTTGGTTCATTGCACTAATCCATGCTGGATGTAGGCTGTTCAGTGTATTGACTAGTGATCAGCAGTGCTGTTCTAGAGTGTAGACAGACCCGAATCAATGGGCTCAATTTACAACAGAGATTCTGGTTAAACATTATAAAGAACATTATAAGCTTTGCCTCAGCCTTGAAAATTTAGAATGCATTACTAACAATGAAGGCCACCTTACAGTATTTGCTGTGTCACCTAATTTAAAAACGTAATAATCATGGGTCCTTTGGGGTGAAAAGGAGTCATTGTCCTTCTGTGTTAGTACAAGTGTCTAGTTTTCCTTCAGCTTTTGCACTTCCGGAAAGTTGTTGCTCAGTTTTTGTTTTAAAAAGCTATCATTGTTATTTATTTTGAGTATTTATATACCAATTTTCATTTTTAAAAATCACAAAATAAATTGAGAAATACAATTTTGAGGGGGAAATGCGGTTTAAAATTGCATATTAGTAAGGAAATCGGATTTAACAGATTTAAGAGTGAGCACATGGGTTGAAAATAACCACTTCAGTCATCTTAATGTTGTGTGCAGCTAAATTCTGCACAAATAGATAAACAATAAAATGTGTCTAATAAAGTCTATGAAGCAATTGATACTCAAGTGCTGTTTTGTCCGACTGCCCAAATAATCCCATTCAGTTCCCAAAAAAGAAAATTATTTTTTTACTTTTTTAATAAAATATTTTCCCTAGATAGACACTTTAGAAATAATTAGGCATTAGTTTTCATAAATACTAAAAGTATGTGTTAATTCAGTTCCAAATATGTGAACCATACACTCTTTGATATTTGCCTGAAAAGATTCATTATTAACAAATGCTATGAGAAAGTACTCTTTCAAAATTGGTGAAGCACCTGAATGCTTTTAATAAGTGGTTGTCATCATTTTTTAGAGTCTTAGTTAAGCCTACAAACCTTCCCTGGCAGCTTTCAACTTGTAAATTTTATATTCTGCAAACCTGCAATACTATCTCTCCTTTAATAATAATGTACTTAACTTGGTTAGATATGCTTTCTTTACGTCTGTATTTTTATTGATTTAAAGCAGGTGATCATGATCGTGCATACAGTAGCTCTTGCATGCAATGTGTATCCTTGTAAAAAGGCACGCTATATGAGGTGTAAATAGAATAAATTAATTGTTCTAATAGTTTTTTACATTTACGCATATACTCAGGAAAATGACCCAAGTAATCTCTAGACCTAGACCCCATGTGCGCTGCACCTTTGAAGCAGTATCACACCACTTTAAAGAGTCATGGCTTTCATCAAAGAATGCTGGGGAACTATATTTTGCTGAGAGTTCTTGGGAGATCCTTATTCCCCATACATAGGTAGAATTCCCAGAGTTCCCTAGGAAGAGAGGTTAACTAATAAGCCACTCTGTGAGCGCTGATCATCACAACTGGGTGGAGGGACATGTCTTTCCAGTCCAACAGCAAGAGAATAAAAAATCATGATTTGATACACTATAAGTAAACACAATTTATTTATAACCAGCAGTTGAATGTATTGTTACTTTGTCTGATATTTTGTTAATGTGTGATTTCATTCTGATGAAAATGGGACTAGATAACATGTTTTTCTAGTTAGGACATATTATAAGAGCTGATACATAACCCAGTTAATCTTTAAATCCTTGTACAGTGGTACCTCGGGTTACATACGCTTCAGGTTACAGACTCCGCTAACTCAGAAATAGTGCTTCAGGTTAAGAACTTTGCTTCAGGATGAGAACAGAAATCGTGCTCTGGCGGCGTGGCGGCAGCAGGAGGCCCCATTAGCTAAAGAGGTGCTTCAGGTTCAGAACAATTTCAGGTTAAGTACGGACCTCTGGAAGGAATTAAGTACTTAACCCGAGGTACCACTGTATTGAAGATGGTGACTGCAGTTGTATTGAAGTCACTAGTTTTGGGAAAGTAAAATGTAATACAGTGGAACCTCGGATTACATACCGTCTTCCTTACGAATGCTTCAAGTAACGAGCTCCGCTACCCCGGAAGTAGATGCTCCTGGTTGTGAACTTTGCCCCGGGACGCAAGCAGAAGTCATGTGCCAGCGGCACGGCAGCAGCGGGAGGCCCCATTAGCAAAAGTGCGCCTCATGTTAAGAACGGTTTTGGGTTAAGAACGGACCTCCGGTACGAATTAAGTTCGTAACCGGAGGTACCACTGTACACCCCATAATAAAAACTAAAACTGCAGAATTTATCACAATAGTCACTCATCTGGGACTCTGGGTGGGCGGCCGTTGCCGCATGGTGCAGCCATGGTGGGTTCAGAGGTGCCCTCTTCCGGCATTCAGGGACCAAAGGTTCCATTTTTAGTTTAAGACCTATTAGCTGACCTACCAAATTTCTTGCTTTTGAGATACACCTAATTTTTAGCTCTAACTCTCAACTGAAACAGATTTTTGCCATTGTTCTAGCATGTTCCCCATTCACAAATATTTCCTGAACAGTTTCTATTTGTTTTACTGAACTTTTTCAACTGTATACAGAGTATGAGATGAATTGTTACATAAATACTCAGTGTATATAGTCTTATGTCCCAATGGTCACTATGTGCACCATCTGGAGAGAGAAAAAAGAATCACTTCATATTCTTGGCAAGTAAGTTGTTGGCTATGTTAGGTGGGGGGCGGAGATTCACTTCATAACACAGCTCAGGTCCATTGCAAGCTAACTGACTTCCAGTTTGTCAGATAAGTTCTCCTTTGTAACCTAATTTAGTAATATGAATAGACAGAATAATATAATGATATACTTTGGAAAAATGACAAATGCTTAAATATGCAGCATTTTTATTATTCCAGTATTGCAGCTCACAGAGAAAATGATAAAATTAAATACTTTTTTTGACTTAAAATTGCAGAATATAATATCCCATACAATGAGTTGAATACAAATTCAGGTCTTAATTTCATACCTTCGCTTATTTTTGTTTTGTTTTCACTTGAAGTCAGCTAATATGGGGGGAAAGGTAGCTGTATGAACATGCAGCAGTCCATAGGCTTAGTTACTGAGGGCTTGGTTACTGAGATTGTGATCCTTCAGTCCTCATGTTGAATGGCAGTTAAATAATTGCAGGGTTTGGGCCTTATTTATTTTCCCATCAAACCCCCTGTCACATCAGTGGAGAGTTTGCCTAAATGAAGCATGAAAAAGGTGGCCTTTCTTGCACTGGGATCACTGCTAGTCACTATCAACCTTGTGTGATTTATTGGGAGATGTGCAAGCTGAAAAATAATGACCTGATGTTATAGGACAAAATGACTCTCATGAAAACCCTTTCCAGGTTAAAGTGGTAGAAGTCAACCCATAAGGCAACTATAAATACTTTCTGAAAGTCATTTTAAAAACAAGTCCATAGGAAGGGGTTTCTACAGTGTGATGAAAAGTACCGTAGTTATTCCTGATTTTAGTGAAAGTTACCTATGGAAGGATGTGATCAATTAATTGTGGTTTTTTATTTGTAAATGCTTCCTGTTAAACCAATCTGAATATATCACACTTTTAGCTTTGCTTCCTACTTTTCCAGTCCCTGTTATACTTTTGATCCTTCAATAAATAACAGCAAATACTTATTTTCTTGCATTTCATGCTATTCTATTACTATGGTAAAAGTCCCACATATCATGATTATACATGTGAATTCATTGACTTCAACACTATGAACCCGCAGCATTTATTCTTAGCAAATATAGCATTATTATGTAGCTATGTTTTGATTTATATGAATTTTCTTAATCTTAAAATTCTGAATAATATAATCCTCACAGTTCACTCACCTTCCTGGGTGGGCGATGTTACGGCCAGGCCACAGACTATGCAAGTGATCTGACCAATGGCAGCCTGGATCACCCGGCTGCCGGCTGTCCTTGTTTTGGTGTTCCCCTGGCAGTGGGCCCAACCAGACAATGGGGACGCTTGGGCCTGCTCCCAGGGGTTGTTAAACTGCAGCCTGTCTGGCAGTCATTCCTGCCTTTTCGTCAGTTCTGCCTTTGATCACCAACCTCTCGTTTCCCCTTCTTGGGCAAAGTTCTTGAATTCTGGTCACAGGCCAGATCTAGGATCCATTGGAGTAATCTGATTTCAATCATGTTTTAGGCTGTTTTGGCATGGAAACTATTTTGGTTGCCCTGTCAGGAGAGAGACAGAGGGAGAGTGTCCCTGTTAATTCTCCTTAGTCTCTAAACAGCTTTCAATATCACCAACCCAGATATCCTTCTGGAGCTGCTATTTGAGCAAGGGTGGAAAGCATCATTATGCAGTGTTTCCAGTCCTATTTAGGTGGTCATTTTCAGAGAGTGGTGCTTGGAGAGTGTTGTTCGGACACATGGAGCCTTCAGTGCGAAGCTCCACAAGATTCAATATTATCCCACATGAAACCATTGAGTGGGGCTGTCCAGAGTTTTGGCACACACAGCATTATGCTGGCGACATATAGTAGGTCTGCCATTACCCGGATTTCGAAGGTGGAATCGACGTCCGGGGGGATTTCTGAAAGGTGGCACTTTCTTAGGCAAGTCAATTGAAAAATTGCAGGTTTTTGATGTTTTTGTTTTTAAAAAGCTTTGGGGTCTTCCTGGTTTTTACTTTTTGAAATATGTCAACCCTAACATACAGTTCTGCTGCTCCTTTGCAACTGCAGGTGTGGGAGTGAATGTGGTGGGTTGATATCTTGTCTTCGTAATGAACTGAATCATAGAATCATAGGATTGTAGAGTCGGAAGGTACTCCAAGGGTCATCTAGTCCAACCCCCTGCAATGCAGGAATATAATATTCTCAACTAAGGAATCCCTGACAAATGGCTATCCAATCTCTGCTTAAAAACCTCCAAGGAATGAGAGTCCATGATCACTCGTACTCAAGTAAGATTGCCTTTCATGAACACTGTCTTAACACTGAGTCTGTAAGTGACTGTGGAGGCAAATTCTGGATCCACAGTGGGGACATAGATTTCCAGGTGGGAATTGATCATGGTGAGGGTTTGCCAAATGTACCTTTCTCTTAGCACATTTCTCCCTTTCGTCTCAAGTTCGAGCATCTTCAAAGTCCATGATACCGTTGGAAAATGCTGTTCTTCAATTGGAGCCACCACAGGCCAGTGTTTCCCAGTTGTTGGTGTTTATACTACTTTTTTGCCTTGAGTGAGTCTTTAAACCTCTTTTGTTGACCACCAGCATTATGCTTTCCATTTTTAAGTTCAGAATAAATACCGTATTTTTTGCACCATAACACTCACTTTTTTCCTCCTAGAAAGTAAGGGGAAATGTCTGTGCGTGTTATGGAGGGAATGCCTATGGGTGGCATGCCTACAGATTTTCCTCCTCTAAAAACTACGTGCGTGTTATGGTCGGGTGCGTGTTATAGAGCGAAAAATACGGTAGTTGTTCTATTCAGGCATCCGAATAACATGACCAGTCCAACGAAGTTGATGTTGAAGAAACATTGCTTTGACACTGGTGATCTTTGCTTCGCCCAGTTCACTGGCATTAGTTCACCTGTCTTCCCAAGTGGTATGTAAAAATTTTCAGAAACAGCATTGATGGAGTTGGAGATGGTGGTCCATGTTTCACAAGCATACAGTAAAGTTGGTAGAACAATAGCTTTGTAAACAAGCATTTTGGTTTCCTTGTGAATGTTCTGGTCCTCAAACACTCTGACTTCAGTCGGAAGAAAGCTGCATTTACAGAGCTCAGGCAAGGCTGGATTTCGGCATCAATGTCAGTCCTTGTGGTGCAGCACTTTGGTTTTTGGGATGTTGAGCAATAGGCCAAGCTTTCTGTAAAGGTAAAGGTACCCCTGACTGTTAATTCCAGTCGCGGACGACTCTGGGGTTACGGTGCTCATCTCGCTTTATTGGCCGAGGGAGCCGGCGTACAGCTTCCGGGTCATGTGGCCAGCATGACTAAGCTGCTTCTGGTGAACCAGAGCAGCACACAGAAACACTGTTTACCTTCCCGCCGGAGCGGTACCTATTTATCTACTTGTACTTTGACGTGCTTTCGAACTGCTAGGTGGGCAGGAGCAGGGACCAAACAATGGGAGGTCACCCCGTCGATGGGAGCTCACCCCGTTGAAGCTTTCTGTAAGCTTCTGCAAAGATATTTAGGATGGTTTGGAGGTCATCCTCTGAGTGTGTGCACATTACGTTGTCATCAGTATATTGAAACTTTATGATAGAAGGTAGGGTAACCCGACTCTTTGCTTTTAACCTATTCAAATTAAAGAGCTTTCCATCTGTTCAATATATGATTTCTACCCTGGTGGGGAGTTTCCCTTTGACAATGTGTAGGATAATGGCAATGAAAATAATAAACAGAGTTGGGGCGATAACACAACCCTGTTTAACACCTGATGCCACTGTGAATGGTTCACTTTGAGAGTCATTGTTATCTGCAATTGTTGCTGTCATGTTATCATAGAGGAGCAGAAGGATATTCAAAAATTTATCTGGGCAGCCGATTTATTGTGTCAAAGGCCTTAGTCAGGTCAATAAATGCCATATACAGGGGTTGGTTTTGCTCTCTGCATTTTTCACTGCTGTTCAGCAGTGAAAATCATGTTCACTGTCCCCCTAGAAGGCCAAAAACCATTTTGGGATTCAGGAAGGGTAGCCTCGGATATAGTTAGGAGATGGTTTGCTAAGATCCTTGCAAGAATTTTGCCGACCACAGCTAATAAAGAGATCCCTCGATAGTTTCTGCAATCTGTTGTATCACCTTTTTTTAAAAAAAGGTTGATAATTTTGGCATCCCTTAAGTCTGCTGGGATCTCTTCTCTCCCAGATTTTTTTGATGAGCTTGTGAAGTTGTGTAAGTTCAATTCTGCCCACTTTGAAGACTTCGGCAGGTATCCTATCAGGTCCTCTGACTTTCCTGTTTTTCATTTGGTTAATAGCTGTATACAATTCTCCAAGATTTGCAGATACTGCCACCACCCTCTGAGTTCCATTTCAGTGTCGAGCAGCTCTTACCATCAGAAAGTTCTTCCTGATGTTTAGTCGGAATCTCATTTCTTGTAACTTGAATCCATTGGTTCAGATCCTACCCTCTGGAGCCAGAGGAAACAAGCTTGCTCCATCTTCCATGTGACAGCCCTTCAGTTATTTGAAGATGGCTATCATATCTCAGCTCAGTCTTCGCTTATCCAGGCCAAATATCCCCACCTCTTTCAACCATTCCTTATCAGGCTTGGTTTCCAGACCCTTTATCATCTTGATCACCATCTTGGTCACCCTTCTTGCACACGTTACAGCTTGTCAATATCCTTCTTAAACTGTGGCACCCAGAACTGGACATAGTACTCCAGATGTGACCCCGGCAGAATAGAGTGGTACTGTTACTTCTATTGATCTTGCATCTGTTGGTGCAGCCTAGAATACCATTAGCTTTTTTTGCTGCTGCATTGCAGTGTTGACTCATGTTAAGCTTGTGTACGAGAGCCAACAAACCACTTTGAGTATTTGGGGTGGTATCCCCCCCATCAAGTGGTATATAAATTTAAATAAGTAAATAAAGTAAATGGAATGGAGTATCTTTGAAGACACCATGGTCTACTGGCTAGAACCATGAACAGAAGCACTGAGCATTTTGTTGTAGGTCCTCCTTGTAACATTCTCTAGATGATTTATTAGAGTGCTTCTAAAAGAATATGGGACACGGGTGGCGCTGTGGTCTAAACCACAGAGCCTAGGGCTTGCCGATCGGAAGGACGGCAGTTCGAATCCCCACAACGGGGTGAGCTCCCATTGTTCGGTCCCAACTCCTGCCCACCTAGCAGTTCGAAAGCATTTCAAAGTGCAAGAAGATAAATAGGTACCACTCCGGTGGGAAAGTAAATGGTATTTCCGTGTGCTGCTCTGGTTCGCCAGAAGCAGCTTAGTCATGTTGGCCACATGACCCGGAAGCTGTCTGTGGACAAACGCCGGCTCCCTCGGCCTATAGAGCAAAATGTGCACACAACCCCAGAGTCGTCTGCAGCTGGACCTAACAGTCAGGGGTACCTTTACCTTTAAAATAATATTGTTCTTCTAATTTTTGCAACATATTCAGATACCTTGATTGATTGATTGATTGATTGACTGATTGATTGTTGCCCTGACCTTTATCAACATATATTGCACCATACCTCTGTTTAGGCCTTTCTTCCTGGTTTAGTGTTTATCATTGTGGATTTTGTAGGGATATTGAGACATATATGGATTTTGCTGAATGTATCTGGGCCATGCTGAAGGATAGTTTCTATTTTAATACACCTTCCCTTATGCATAGAATTCCTTTAAAAAAAATATATATGTAAAAATACTGTGAGTAATATCCAATGTTAGTCATACTCAGAACAGACCAAATGAAATGATTTTGACAATTCACTTCAATATGTCTTCTCTGAATATATCTTAGTTAGGTATCACTGTATACATATTTTTCTTGAAAAGTGAAATGGACAGTGTAAGTTTTTTATACTAGAGCAACATTTATTTTGTAGTTATCTTGTTTGTTCAAATTCAATGGCATTTTTTTATCAGGGCAGTTTAAAGTAAAATATTTAAAATATACATAAACACTGTATATATAGTTACCCTCATAAAGCTGGACCCTTGACTACTCATATATTCACCAGCAATTAAAGTATTCATTGAAACTAGAGTGAGAAACAATTACTAAAGAGAAATTCTTAAGCATGGAACCATAGGTTAATTAACATTTTTAATACAATTAAAAGGTCAGAATATTATATTAAATATTTGAACGCAATTTCAATGAATTAATTTAAGAGATCATCTATAGAGCTAAGATAAATGCTCTTTACCAACACATACAGCATCTTAACAAAAAAATTGGCTAACTATACTTGACTGGTGAAATATGCTGTAAGATAACATAGAATATATTAAACATAATGGGAAGAAGAACAGATTATAATAGATGGAAATTGGCAAGAAATGAAAGAATTGTTCAGTAAGGCAAACATACCATCTTGATGAGAATTTTCATAGAAATACAATGAAAGTATATTGCCTCTGAACTACAAAATCATGCATCTCATAACTACTCCCCCCCCCTCTGCAAAATTATGGTAACTGTGTGTCAAGGACCCGCCACCCGCTTAGAGATAAAATAAGACACAAGGACACATGTATTTTAGGTCAGTGGGTTAAATAAGGCCACAACTTTATTGATTACAGCATGTGAGTGGTATTGGCTTAGGCACTGGATCAAACAAACTATACTTGACTCAACCCCGTCCAGCAGGAAGTCATTTTGAGGGTTAACAACCAGTGGGAGGAGCTTGTTGATGCAAATACAACTGGAAGCTTCCCCTGACGTCACCGGGGGTTGTGCCGTGGCCCTAGCCACCAGCAGGGCATCGGACAGGGTCCACGACCGCCGGATCCCTTTAACAGAATACCCAAAAGGAGGAGGAGATGATGGCCACAAGCTGCCCTCCAACACACCACCCATATTCCAATGCCTAACCGCCACCCGAGGAGAGGTCTTGCTCTAAACCATTTCCAAACCATTTCTGTGTTCAGAGCTGCTTTTGGGAGTGATTTGGTTGCCCTGATTGATGACCTTCATTTGAAGATAGACAAATGGGAGTTTGACCCTGCTGCTTCTGTACATTCTATCATCTGCTTTTGATACCATCAACATAGTATCCTCCTAGGAGATAGATATTTGGAGACACTTCTTTAGTGATTAAACTACTGCTTCCAGGAACAGGGAGAAAAAAACATTGGATAAGTGTTTCTTAGTCCTCTGGATCTTGAGCTCTGAGGGCCACAGGGCACTATATTGTCTCCTATGCTATTTGATATCTGTATAAAGCCATTTGGAGCTGTCATTAGGAGATTTGGAGTGAGGTGTAATCATATGCTGATACTAAGCTTTTATTTTTCTGTAACTTCACAATCATGAGTGGCTATGTGTCTGGATGCAGTAGTGGGCTGATGAACTGAATCTGAAGATGGAGGGTGAGTGGTTCCTGAGTTCCCAACATCGAGCCTAGGCCTAAGCATGCACTGATCTCTGGATTGGAGCACTAGGCTTTAAGTAGTATTTTATGCATAGGTATCTTTATTGGGATGGTAGGCTGTAAATAAGGTAGGCTGTAAATAAGGCAATGTATTTCTGCATTCTGTGGGTGGACCGGGGGGGGGTTCAGTAATAGGATTTTTTTTTACTGAATTCATAATAGTTTCAATTTTACCATTTACTAATTTGAAAAAATGATTGTATTAAATGTAATATACTGATGATTAGCTGAAGTTCATAAAAGAACTTCAAAAGAACTTGGTAGCAGGATATAAAATAGTAAATAAAGGTATTGAATTTTCCCCTTTTGGAATTCAATTCCTTATTCATTAAAGGTTTCAGTTGTCCATTTCTTTGTGTGTTTTTTTACCTTTTGCTTTTTTAGAGTTTTTACTGCCCGCTTTGAAATGTTAGGACAAAGGTTCACGGTAGGAAGTTGTTTTATTTCTGACAAAGTTTTGTGTGCATAAAGCACTGGGAGTTCATGGTAACTAAGTTAATGGTTTATGTACACTAAAGGAAACTTTTATGCTCAAAGGTAGGCGGAACAAAGCTCCATTTACTTGTATAAGAAACAACTTCAGTCTTTCTTCTACTGAAATCTAGGGCTTTTAAACTAATCTTTGAAATTATTTTTGGAGAAAGTTCTGGAAATGTGTAAATTATCTCCAACAATTCCCCTTTCCCAAATTATATGCTCCATGGTGTATCACAAAGAAAATAAACAGAAAAGGTATTGTGATAAATGAATCAATTAAAAGACTACAAGAAGACTCCAGTTGACAATTTTGCTGTCAAGTTTCAATCAACATATGCAATTCACACAACTAATTTAGCTCCCCTGGTCTAAGATTCCCTAGCCTAAAAAAACTTCCATCGTGTGTCCATTTCAATAGCAGAGAATTCATACTGCTGGAGAGATCCCCCCCTCCCCCAATTTCTTTCTTTCCCTATTTTTTTCAGATGTTTGGAGGAAAAGCTTTGAGCTTCTGCTGCCAAGATAGGGGAACTTGCTTACAGTATATGATTTAGCAAATAAAAGGAAAACAAAGAGAATTGGCCAAACATAATGCATATACATGGTTTGTACTTGCATCTTTGTTTAAAATATAGCTAGGGCAATCCTGATCAAGACCAAGTCAGTGTGTATGCATGTTAAAACTCTTTCCCCTCATACATATAAATCACAAAAATTGCTCCCTGAAGCTGGGAGTTGCCCTGAAAGGAAAGCTATCAGTGCCAAGAGCAGCTTTTCTCATGGGGGGCAGCTTTTGGAGTGGGGGTGGTTGTTAAGACCACCGCAAGAAGGAAAGGATTTCTATCACTCTCCACCCCCACTGTGGTCCTAATTCAGATCACCCATTTAAAAAATAGACAGAAGGGCAAACAACACCTTGAATATAAAATGTAGTTTGACTCAAAGACTAGGGCTGGACTTGTCTGTCTTTGCTACAGCCTCAGAACAATTAAAGCTTCCATTATACACACACAAACATGAGAATTAGTCTCACTGAACCCAATGGATACAAATGTGTTGGATCTGGCTGCAAATTGTATGTACTGAGATGCAGTCTGGGAAGTTGTCCAGCTCAGTTCTATTATTATTATTTTTGAGCTGTCACAGGACACAGGAATGCTGCCAAAAGAAACATCCCCATATTGAGATCCCCCCCTCTCCCTCATAATGTGTACTAGCAGCCATCATATGGTATGACATCATAATGTCATAAGATTTTTTTACTCATACCAGCATCAGTCAATAATGTAAGTGTGGGCGGAGAAATTCACAATGTGATGCCATCATGTCATGTATACATATTTTGGGGAGAGAGAAAGAGAGTTCCACACAAATATGTTGTTTTTGAAGCATATTATCAAAGTTGTTCTCAACATGAATATCTGAAAGTAACTGGAGTCTAAAGATGTAATGTAGTATGAAAATTAAGTATGTGCATACAATCTATTTTGTGCACAGCACAGCCAGACCTTTGCTGCTGCTGCTGCTGTTTCTGCTGCTGTTGTTGTTGCTTTAATTTTTGGTGCAGCAGTTCCTACTCCTTAAAGGACAATCTGATTTTTAAAGCTAAGAAGCATGTCTCCCCAACACCCAGTGGGACATTCTATACCAGGGATGGTATCCTCTATATGTTGCTGAACTACATTTCTCTCAATCCAAGACAGCATAGGATGATGGGCACTGTAGTCCAATATCTGCTCTATAGCATAACTAGAAATAAGCATGCTGCTGCATACACAAATCTGCCATGTGTACCCTTTCGCATACGCTTTTGTCCAGCGACCCACATCCAGTGGAGCTGTGGGCACGCTAATGCAGTAGCAGAGTACCAGCAAGAAGCAAGGCTGTGGAGGCATTTGGCATCGCGAAAGCTTCTTTATTTACAGCAAATCAAAACAACAAACATAGCTAGTGTGAGCAACAGCTTCCCACATGTCCTCTCTGTCCGAAAGCAGAGAACAAAGAAAAAATACAAAAGCACACAGAACGGAAGTACAGTGTCTGAGTTCCGTTCCCACACTCCTATCACAATGGAATGTAAACAGTGAATCAAGAGTTCCAACAGCAATGCGAGAATGAAATTACTAACACTTTGTATCTCCTGAATTGGCCTTTCCCCTTTTCCTTTCTCATTAATGCTGCCTTCTTCTGATCTCACTGTCCTTCTCCCTTCTCTCCTATCCTTAACCATGAAGTTCTTTATAGCTGAAATGTCATTTTCTTTACGTCCATCAGATATGGGCATAGCAGAAATGGTGTTGCCTTTTTATCCAAGATTGTCATGGCTTGCTTAATGGTGGCAGCATCTTTGAGCGGCATCTTCCATTGTGGAAATTGCAGCAGCGCCCATATGAAATTATATGTTCATCTAAATAATCCTCCACACAATTGTCAATCACTCATGATCCTGATGTCAGCTCTACCTGCTAACAGGGTGATTTAACAATGCTACCATTATGTGTGAAACAAAATATTAAAAACATTGGTATATACTGTAGAGGGAATGTGCTGTGCTGTCTTCACTCAAAGCAGTATAACATACTAGGGAATATATGCGCTTCCAACAGCTACGTACTGGATGTCAGAGGACGAGAGACAGAGAACTTGAGTCAAAAAATGTAGATTAGATCTATGTACCTGCAACTGAAAAGATTGTGTGGGGGGTTTTTGGTTTGTTTTTTTAATTAAAAAAGTCATTTATACATATCTGATTTTTAGAAGTCAATTTAATAATAATATAATAATAATAATAATTTATTATTTGTACCCCGCCCATCTGGCTGGGTTTTCCCAGCCACTCTGGGCGGCTTCCAACAAAGATGAAAAATACACTAAAATGTCACATATTAAAAACTTCCCTGAACAGGGCTGCCTTCAGATGTCTTAGACAATCAATTTAGACAGTCATGGTCAAAAATTGTTTCTAAAGTTGTTGCTTAATCGAAAGTATTCTCTAGTGATATGAATCCATTATACAAAATTGTTAAAGCATGCTTAACAATATTGTGTTAATTATGCAATGATAAATTATTTTATCTACCTTAACAACACTGTAGCAGTAGATAATTGTTCTTTTTATGCAAGAGGAAAGTATTTATAATTTAACAAAGACTAAGAACTTTGATCATAATGACTGATTTCTTTTTTTACGTAACCACTAAAAAAATTGTAATAAATGTGATTCTAGTGCACAGGACATATTTTCTGTGTAGTATGATAAAAATCAAAAAGCCAGAGGAACCTTGTAGCTAACAAATGCACAGAGAAAAGCAACTACCATTCAGAACTCGTGTTAAACCTGCAGTTTAACTACTGATTCCAAGTCACCTGAAGTCATTTATACTACTCTTTCGCCATTTGTTTTATTTCATTTATGCTGTAATTCATTCTCAGTCTTAACTAGCTATTCTATATATCCATTTTTGCTTTGTAACTCATTTCAAACTACTTGACATGGACATGAATGTGAAACAGGAATACTTTTATTGTCTCTGTGTATTCACTAGTATAGGCTGTGCTGTACAGTGGTAGCTCGGGTTACATACGCTTCAGGTTACAGACTCTGCTAACCCAGAAATAGTACCTCGGGTTAAGAACTTTGCTTCAGGATGAGAACAGAAATCATGCTCCAGCAGCACAGTGGCAGCAGGAGGCCCCATTAGCTAAAGTAGTGCTTCAGGTTAAGAACAGTTTCAAGTTAAGAACAGACCTCCGGAACGAATTAAGTACTTAACCTGAGGTACCACTGTAGTGCCTAAATGGAAAGGAGAGAAGGCAGAATGAGGAGGGAAAAGAGAAAGATGGAGGAAGTTTACTGAGCGGAACATAGGAAGGGAGAAGCAGTCTTTATTGGTTGAGTAAATTCAAATAGAGAGATTCATGTCCCCAGTAAGGTTTTTACTGGATAATAACATGTGGAGATTGGTATCCAGGTGGAAGAGCCAAGAGAAAGTCAAGCTGTTTTGGAGTAAGTGGCCATATCCAGGAATACTCTTGAAGACTGCCAAAATGCCAGAAAAGGTGAATCATGCATTCCCAGGCTGCACTGAGGGTGAAATGCAGAACAAGTGCCTGGTTAGGAACTCTGCTTTCAGACACAGAACTTGGACTCTCGGCTCAAGTATTCCTGAGGACTTGATTCTAAAGGTTAGCACATAGTTTAAACATAAATTAGGATACAGGTTGCAAAATTAGTAGCTCAGAAGCAGGGCTCTAAGATACATGGCTGGCACAACCTTACACACTTTCTTTCCTCATCTTTTCAAGGGTGTGGTGGGCACAGTCATTCTCTTGGTTCTCTTCCCAAGCAATGGGAGTGGGCAAGCAAGCGAACACCCCAAGTAGGCTTTGTTGGCTTGTACAGCTGCATTTGATGATGCACCCTGGGAGATGGGGCCTAAGTTTGCTTGGCCAACTTACTATCTGACTCAGGGTCTTGCATTTTCCCAGTTGGCAGGGCAGCCTTCATCTCCAGTGGCAGGGTGACAGCTGGTTTGTTCAACTCTCCTTCCTCTATTGAAACATACGGCAGCATGTGGAGAATGTGGTCTCCTAGGGGACAACCCAGACCCTCTCCACCAACAGATTCAGCAATCTCCTTCCATTCCTCCTCTCTCTTTCTGACAGAATGTCAACCAAGAGGTTTTTTCGGCACAAAAGCGGGTGGACATGTCAAGGCTACTTTCTAAAAATATTATAGAAGATGCTGGATGGGTTCAATGTTCTATTGTTATGTTGCTCACCAAAGAAGTGTGGTGGCAAAACTTTAAATCATCTATGCAACAAAAAACCTTGGGCTGGACTAGTTGATACCTATGAATATGATGTCATATAGTATTTATCAGTTCCAGCTTTCCACCTACAAGTGATCCGAGGCCTTTAGCTGATTAAAATTCTATGATGTTTTAAGTGTGTTTGTTTTTTCATTTTTATATTTTTAAGTTGTGAACTGCCTTGTGATCTTTAGATGAAGGGGGGTACACAAATTTAATTAATCATCATCATCATCATCATCTGCGGGTGGTGACCTAGGTACTCGCCATGCCCTCTAAGCAAAAAGCTTCCCCCATGCGTATACCTTTCTGTGATATTTAGACTTCCAAGCCTGAAGCAAAACTTCCAATATTAGAAACACATACTGAATACTAAAAGTATGCTACCCGTGTGCTTAAAGTTATGCACATGTATATAAATTTGCCTAATATATGCAAGCTGGTGGTTTTTACAATTGTAACACTGCAGGCTTTTAAGTAAGTATCTTATATTGGTTTTGGGTGGGTTTTTTCCAGAAAACGATAGGTATTTGGTTTTCTATTGTTCTGGTTTTTTACCTTGTCTCATGGATTCTCACATTTTTTAAAAATAAACTTGTTATGATTTTAAGTATTCACAGATTGTAATATACATGTGGGTGTCTTCAAACATCTGGTTCTCCTGGTTACCTAAAATTGCTTCTTTTCAGAGTGATACTCTGAAGGGGGGGAAAAGAACATCAAATGCTTCATGGTTCATGTAGCCTGCTCTTAATCCTGGCAATCAGAGGAATACTGGTTTCAGGGTGTTGGCCACACTTTTTCTATAGCTAAGCTAGAAGCCATCTGTTGGCTTATCTTCCATATATTAGTTATGTAAATCCAGGGATGTTGCTGTTGCCATGAATGCTGCAAAACACATTTCTACCTGGTCTAGGGGTCGGGGCCCAGACTCACCCTGAACAGCTAAAAGAGGCTCCTGAGAGGCCAATGAGACATTGATGGAACAACTCTTGGTTTGTGACAACTGGCTAAAATATTTTAAAATGTTTCTAATTTTGATTCCTCTGAGGGGGTTTTTGTCGAGTTGGTGTTGGTTAAATGTTTAGTTGGAGTTGATGGTTATTTTAATTTGGGTGTAACTGTAAACTGTTTAGTGTTGTTGTTGTTGTTGATTTCTATTGATTACTTGGTTTGTTTGTTGCTTGTATAGGATATTTTGTTTTTTTAATGTTTGATTTGTTGTGGTTTTATATATGCTGTAAGCCACCCAGAGTGGCTGGGGAAACCCAGCCATATGGGCAGGATATAAATTTTAAAACAAGTTATGTCTGTCAGGCCCATAAAGATTCAGAGGTTGCATGAGTATTAATACAAGAGATTTGGGAATGATGTAGTACAGAGATTGCCAACCCAGCGCCCATGGGCACACATTTCATGGCTCTCCTTTTTATTTATTTCCAATGGCAGGCACTTCCTTCACCCATGGAGGGGCTTTCTGAATGTGTGTGCTCAAGTATGCTCTTGCTATGTGTGTATTATTGAGAGATATCCACTTGGGCAGAGAGAAAGAGAGTGAGATGTCTCTCGGTGTGTGAGAGGGGGAGGGAGGAGGAAGCATACATGTACGTGTGATCTGTAAGAAAGGGAAGGGTGTATGTGCTGTGTGTACAGTCTGTGTGAGAGATTGAGGGATGCATATGCGAAGTATGTGATTGTGTGTGAGAGAAGCATGTGTGTCTGTGGTCTATATGTGTGCATGTGCTCTGTGTGTGTATGTGTGTGTGAGAGAGAGGGGGACAGAAAATGTGGTGTGGCCACATTGTATATTTTCCCTGGTACATGGAAACATCTCCTGTTTACCAACAGCATCATTGTGTGCATGATCTGCACAATCAGGACACGTAGGTGACTTCCCACAACAAGCATGTGGTTAGAGGGAGTAGGGAGCAGCAAAGATGGCCCTCTGTTTTCGTGTGATTCCATGCCATCCCCAGCAGCTATGATAAATTATGCCTGTCCCTCCATGGTACACATTTTGTGTTATGGCCTGCTTCCATGAGAGCCATTTTGTAACTGACACCTACAGCACTTTCTAACAATTTGTAATGCGCCTGCTGGTCCAAAAGGTTATTAGCCCTTGATGTAGTAAGAGAGTTCAAAAATGCTTAGGCTGTAATCATAACTAGACTAAGGGAGCAATCCTAAACTGCCCAACACCAGTGGAGCTTTATGGTGGGTGAGAAAGCCAGTTGAAGAAAAAAAGTATGATGAAAAAGGGAAATTATGAAGGAATACTAAGGAAGCGTTTGTGGTTTTTCTGAAACTTGCTTGTATAGCATGTGAATCTTAATGGTTCGTTCTTTAAACTTCACTGTGTGCTTCATTCTAATCTGCACACTTCATATGATGCTCTACATTTCAGACCCTCCTGCAGCTATAAAAGGAAGTAATTAAAGCTGTTTCCAATCTGTTTTTCTGTGTGTTGTTGCAGAGCATGAGCTAATATCAGAGTGTCAAAAGGACTGTCATGTTGTTATCAGTGTGCATGCATAAATGAAAAGATTACAGCAGTTTGTTTTATCATCAATTTTTAAACTCTTCAATAAAAACATAGTTTTAATAAAATATAACTCATGCAGTTAAATCAAATTTCTTTCATTTGTTTCCATTAGGATCAATTACCCATATAGGTTTTTTAAAGCAATTGAAATCCTTTGTTGGCTGTTGTGTCTTTTTCACTTTAGTTTTCTAAGAAAGTGAGAAAATGTGACTTTACACATACACACAGATGCACACACACACAAACAAATATATATTTAAGTCATCACTTTATACTTAAACATTATTTTTATTTCTTTTAGGTGGAAAAATAACCAGTCTCTGCCTTAAAGTTTTACAACAGTGGGGAAAAGTTTCATTTTCTCCCAGAATTATGGATATAAAAGATCGAAGGCACCGCTCTTTGACAAGAGGCAGGTGTGGAAAGGAATGTCGCTACACAAGTTCATCACTGGACAGTGAGGACTGTAGAGTGCCTACTCAGAAGTCCTATAGTTCAAGTGAGACACTGAAGGCTTATGATCATGACACCAGAATGCACTATGGAAATCGAGTTACTGACCTAGTTCACAGAGAGTCTGATGAGTTTCCAAGACAAGGTATGTTCTAAGACCCTTTTTTTTTTTTTTACTTCAATGATACCATTACAGTACTATATTTAAGTGTCCATGCAGTTACTCTGCATTTGTATGGGAAGATGTGTTCAGTTGTGATTTGACATGCAAGTACAAAATTCAGTTTTCATTGTGAAGTGAAGTGGTGAATATGTTAGCTTTGTCATATTCAGAAAGCCTTTCTAGATTCCTCCTTTTAACATAGAGGTATTAATAATTATTAGTATTAACCAGCTGTCATGTTGTCATATTTCTGGAGAGGCCCACATATTATACCCTTGTGTTATGTCACTAAGGTTCATTACAGGTATAATAGAGACATTTTCACTACTTATTTTTTTATGGGACTAGCATTACTGATAAGTAAAACATTGTGATTAACATTTGATAATCATTACCTATGAGGTACTTGGAATTTATCCCATATTTCTTACAGAAGTGAATTGAAATGTGGAGAATGTACACTTTTCTCTGACACCATTTTGTCACTGCATAAGCCTTACATTTAATTTAATTTAAAAATGGAGGGAGAAGACCCATCTAATTATTTTCAAGTTCATTAGTAGTTTGTTAGTGCCTCACACAGAATCAAAACCCCACATTAAATTTTAGATTGATATAAATTTTTCACATGAATGTGTAAACTTCCTTTGATAGCTTTTTTCCATTATAACAAAAACGATTGAGAGAAGTATCTTTACATGTTGTTTTTACTTTGCGTACATTTCTTTCTATGTTACTTTAAGTGACAATTTATTATGCTTCAATGTCTTACCCTTTTCAGTGTGTGAATAATTCAAATACAGAAAAACATAGCCCAGACTTGTGATATGAAAAGTTCCAGATAGTCTGGCTATTAAGAGATAGTTGCATTCCTAAGACAGGCATAAATGGTGGGTGGGGAAAACCAGCACACTTTTCAACTCTCCAGTTGTCATATAGAATGATATTAAGTCCTATAATCCCTTTGTAAGATTGATGCCAATGAAGTTATTTCTGTTGCTTTTCCTAGCCCAGAATGAATCCTAGGCAATACTTTTCTCAAAAGATTGTCTTCTCAGCAAAATTGATCCACAAGCATATATGGCTCCGTCTCATGGAAGAGTATTTGTTCAACATAGCTTTTAATTTTATCCTACTATACAAAGCTAAAAGCACCTGATGCCCTCTAAACATGTTTTAAATTACTGTATGCATGTGCTTGGTTTGGATTGGAGCTAATAGCTCTTAGTGATAGAATTCCCTGTGAGGTATTTGTTGTTTCTTTCAAAATTGTTAAAATTTCTTTGGCACTATGAACGTTAAATCACAATATATCTGTGCAGTAGATATATTCCCTACCATTCTTCCAGTAAGCTAGGCAGCTTAAACTGCAGAATAGAGACTTAGCTAAGGACCCCAGTGAGCTTTACTGCTGAATCAGCATCTGAATCTGGATTCCTCACATTCAGGCACAACACCGTAGACACTTCTTGTCAATGGTCCTTGTGATGTTTAAGTTGTAACTATGCTTCAGCTGAAGAACTGTTGCTCCTGAAGTGTATAAATTATCCTGTGTTTGCATAGCTTCAAAACTGCAATAGGGTTCTTTGTTTCTAGATCACTGATTTTAAAACCTCTTCCCAACTTTCTTCTTCTTTCATGAAATTGCTTCAGCTTTCTTTTGGTATAAAATGGTTACCATCTTTGTTAGTTTTGTGTACATCAGTTTCCCAAATACAAGTATTTTCCCCTGGTATTATTTTTCTTTCCATATTTTGGCCTACTTACTATTTCTGTAACTACTAATTTACATTTCCTTGACTGTTTATTCCCACTTTGAAGTAAACAATATGTGTAGTAAATTAGCCTTGTATGAGTGTATTTTAAGGGTAAATGTATGCACTGCCAGAAAAAAAACCTGTTACTCTATTGTTCTCTTGTTTGTTGGTGGATCAAGTATACAGGATCAAGTATACTAGCGGTACATAAATATAGGTCTGTCCTATGTATAATTTGATGGAAAGGAAACACAGTTTTCAGGAAAGTTACAGTACATCTTGTGAACATTTTTTTTCTTTGAAAAAGTGCATTTTATTGCTAGCAAAGTATTCTGAATTCTAAGTACACTGGAGTACTGCAGAATCACATATGTCAAGCTGGCAACTGCTGATTTGTGCCAACTGCACCGATTTGCCTCAGGATGCAGAATTAGATTTCGACAGAATAACTTGGAGTTTAAATGAGGTCACAAGATTTATTTACTGGAAACACTGAAATGGATTTATCAGGCCACTCTCTAGACACGAGGCTCATTCTGTTAAATGGGGGCATTTGTCTGATTTGCTGGTCCACCCAATATTGGTTGTTCATGCAGTCCCCCTTTATCCACACAGGCCAACAGTTTGCAGTGAGGCTGCCCGTAGACTATAATAATATCGCAAGGGAAGTAAAAGTAAGGTTTTTGTTGACTATCTTTCTTCCACAATTCATAACAGCATAAATCTTCTATCTTGGAATAACATCTTGTTAGCAACTAGTGCCTTGTTGTGGCTCAGAAGTCACAGGAACAGAATGGGCATTAGTTGCAATAGATATCTATAAAAGTCATGAGAATTAGACCTTTTTCAATAGTTTCATGGTAGATCCGGCCCTGCTCCTGTGGGTGCCATTGAGCAAGGTAACACTAGATGGACTTCGTTGCCTTGTGTGGATGCCATTGAACAAGTTAATAACTTATTGATGTAATAATATGTACAGTGGTACCTTGGGTTAAGTACTTAATTCGTTCTGGAGGTCCGTTCTTAACCTGAAACTGTTCTTAACGTGAAGCACCACTTTAGCTAATGGGGCTTCCTGCTGCCGCCGGGCCACCGGAGCACAATTTCTGTTCTTATCCTGAAGCACTATTTCTGGGTTAGCAGAGTCTGTAACCTGAAGCGTATGTAACCTGAAGCGTATGTAACCCAAGGTACCACTGTATTAGGTAAACACTGCAGAGCTGCAGGGAATTTTTATGCCACAATAAATTAAAAATTTTGCTTTTTCTGCAGTCCCAACATGGTCTGGTCCAAAACAAACAAGATAGAGGCCTTTTTTTAAAGGGCCATAATTTTATAATAGTATTGGGAGGATTTATATCTGGATGCTTTACTTGAGATATATCTTAATTGCATTAATTTAAAGCAGAGAGCCGCTGCAGTGTTTTTGTACTTTGCAAGGTAAAAGCAGGGAGTCTGTATAATATCCTGTATGTCTCTAGGTAGACATAGGATATGACTAATTATCAGTGTTGTCATCATAATTTTTTCTCTTGAAGATCTGGAACAACTTGGAAAAGGTGTGAAGACTGACACACAATTATTGCAAACTACAGTTAGAATGTTACATGATCAAAAGCCCCATCTCTTAGCTGTCACATAAGTAAGTTATTACTGAGCACTCTCTTCTTTCTCATTGTAACCAAAGCCAATCTAGTAATCCATCTCCTCCAGGAATTATGAGGACAAATAGTATATGCTTTAAAATTTTAATATGTGCAGCCAACAAGGAATTATTTAATGATTTGATAAAGTCTTTTCTAATTTGTCATATGTGTTGATAAGTGTACAGTGCACATATTTATTATACTTTTTCTTGCAAGGAGGTCTAATTTCAGTGAAGCATAGCACAGTATCTGTATAATATTGCTGTGTGGATCTTCCCTCTATTTTTTTATATTTTTTTAAAAATAAAAATAAAATTCCCCAGTTGTTTTTCTAATTTAATTCAGTGGCATTAGTTAAGAAAATGGCAGTGGTCTTGATATGCACTTCAGTTTGTCATGACATATTTACTATTTTTTTAAAAAGTGTTCCCTTGAGATAGTTTAACCTTCTGACACAACTATAAAGTAAACTTTCCTTCTTTGCATTTTCCACTATGGAGTGATAACTACATAAATTAAAGAGGAACATGCATTCATAAAGCACCCAATTGAAAGTAATAACACAAATTCAAACAAGCTTTATTGGGGACTTGAAAATGAGGATTTAAATAGTAGTCCTCATGTACCCCCACGAGTGTCAGGCCTAGGAGCAGTCCCAAGCAGTAAACCTGATTCTTAAAGGGTGTGTAGCAACAAAAAGCATGCACATATCCTATTAAAGATAATGAAAGACTAATGAAAGACATGTCTGACTTGCATAGATTAAGCTTCAGGTCTTAAACTTATATCCAGTCCATCACTGAACTTAAATACCAAGGTCTTCCACACATCTTTGTCTGTTCTGTTGCAGCATCTTCCTATAGAAATTAAATAATGTGGGGGACACAACAATCAAACTTAAAATAGATCATTTTGAGCAACACTCAAAAGGAGGCACTGTGGGAAACACAAGTGGCATCATCCCACTAATAGCATCACTGGGATATTGTGGGAAATTTAAATAGTGGCTATGTCAGAAGAATCGCAAGGAATTAGCTGCCCAGCACTCATCAGAACACCATGAAATAAAACGGTTTAAAAATGAGAGTCTGTGGCCTGAGGAGAGTCCAAAGGGCCTGTATATGGCCCTCAAGCCTGAAGTTTGCAACTTCTCATCTATGGGCTCAAGCCACTGGTACAGGGTTGCCATAAGTCTGGGAAAACACAGACATCTCCTCTTTTGGGGGCGCAACATGCCCATCTGGACAGATTTTTACATTTTAAAGGAAATGTCTGGGGCTTGGGGGGGAGTTGGGGGCTCGGGCGGGGCGGGCTGCTCTGCACCGTGCTGCCACTGCCAGCCTGAGCCAGGGAAAGAGGTGTGTGGGTGTTCTGCACGCTGTGGTCACTGCCAGTCCAAGCCAGGGAAAGATGTACATAGGCGTAGCAGCCCCGCATGCCCACACGCCTCTTTGCCCGGCTCGGACTGTCCTCTTTTTTGCTCTTCAAGATATGGCAACCCTACACTAGTAGACATTGACTACTACCATATGTTGTACTTATGTAGTACAGAGGAATTACATTTTCATGTGAATAATCCTTAAAAGAATAGCATCGTGTGTGTGTGTGTGTGTGTGTGTGTGTGTGTGTGTATAATTAGGGAGGCTGACAAAACTTTTCTGACTTGTTTTCCTGTAACCCGAGATACCAGCCCTTACATAAAAGTATGTGTGTTTGTATATATTGCAACAATTATACTTATTTAGAATCTGCTTTGCTGCAGAAAAAAATAGATACTCACATGCTTGTGACATGCAATTACATACATAGATTTCCCTACGCCTGCCTAGGAAAAATGTTATGTGACTCAAAGGAGCCTGTAAAAATGTGTTTCCTGCTGTCCCAATGTCACTCTTTCTTCCATATCTTCCTGAAATTGCACATTAGCATAGCTTGCCAAGATTGCTGTGAATTCTGTCTTTTTAAAAAAACCACAGAAACCCGTTTTGTGGAAGGTTCAAATAAACAAAAAATAAACAGCTGTAATTGTTTTGTCCTAAGTGGTTGAATATACCATAATATTGATGCAGGACTGCCTGAAGACCCATTTGACTCATCTCTAGAACAGACTTAGATTAGTGGAGTTGACAAAGCAAATAGCATTCAGACATTTAAATATATAGCTTCCCATTCTTTACAAATACTTAGCTGTAAGTGTTTTAGAATGAATGCTAAAATACATATCTCTGAATGCAGACCATATTGGAAACTGAGATTTACTGTCCCAAAGAATAATGCTTACTCAGCCATCTGATGAGATCTGAGCACTAAACAGTTTGAGAGGGATGCATAAAACTGTTTTATTACAAGATGCTGTTATGAATTATTGCAGATTTCCTTATGGTATAATGCTGTTACCAAACAACATGCATGAATATTAGTAGTTTTATTTCTTCCTCGTACTTTTTGGGGATAATACTTGGATTATGGCTTCCAACAGTTTCCATGTATCCTCAGGTAATAGTTGGTATAGAGACCTCTACTCAAAACCAAAAGGTGCTTTTAAAAATTTGGGTCACAGTATGTGGAAAGCTGCATTTTTTTTGCCCATGAAACTGGTGTTAAATGGTAGCATCTCATAGGGATGGATGCAGAAAATAACCATTTTGCAACTATTAGTTGGTCTCTGAGGTACTACTGAACATTATATATATATATATATATATATATATATATATATATATATACACACACACACACACACACTGCGTTAGACCAACACGACTACCTACCTGAATCATTTTGCATTTCGTTTGGTGAAACATTCAGTTGTGATTCGAGGACCTGCCACCCGCTTGAGGATAAGAAAGACACATGGACACGGTATCGATCTGACGAAAAGCAGCAGCACAATGGCTGGGAAACGCTGCGGCGGCCGCGTTTGAGCAGCTAAACCCCGCCCCCAAGCCTCCAGCCGATTGGCTGGCCACTTGGGGGTGTGGCGCAGCAGCAGGAGCAGCTGGGCAGGGGGTGGAACGCCCCCTGCCAACGCGGGAAACGGCTCCCGCTCACAACTCCTCCCCTCCTTGAGGAGGAGAGGCCTTGTTGTTAAATAACACCATTTCTATCATTTTTATTAACAGATTACAATTTCTGTTTAATAAATGCAAAGCTGAAAAGGGGCTTGTTAATGAGGCCAAAATTTTTATTATGTAGAAGACACGTGTGTGTGTGTGCACACGCGTGCACACACACACACACACACACACACACACACACATCTGGGACATTATTATTGATATAGTCTGATGGGACGTTATTACTTAAAATTTTTAAAGTGTTGCCCTGGGAGGCAACAGTTTTTTATTTGTGTTGCTTGATCACACCATCACTTCATCTAGCATTTTCAAAATATAGTTTTAGTTTTAAATTCCCTTCTCTTTTCATAAGGGATTTTCTAGCCCTCCAAATTGTCAGGGGGGCATCTAAATTTATTGTTTCTTGTTCCTGCTACCACTAATTAGCATAAGGTGGAGGGGAGGGGGGTTACTATTGGTTATTTCTGTAATTCCCCATCTATCCTACATTCCCAGAGCTCTTTGGCTTTCTTCCAGAGATTCTTAATTCAAAATTCAAGATAATTTTTCCTCTCACACTTTCCAAAAAAACCCCTACAAGTTTTCTAGTGTGGAATCCTGGGACTGGAAAAGGGAAATAAATGGATCTCACCCAATATTTTGCCCTTAAGGCTCAAGCCCCTAAAGATGAGCCCACATAATTAAGATGATATTTAACTGCAACTGGAGCAATAATATAATCAAGCAGATAAGAGTTTTGTTGCCATAACAAGGGTTCTGCAACAGCAGGGTACTTCAGTTATCCAAACTGCGAAGAGCTTGTGGGCCTGCGGCCGTTTTAAAATGGCTAAACCAATCCCCCCCAGCCAGTCGGATTGTGTGGGTACGATGTGTGTGCAGCCACAAATGCACATGCTGTTTTCAAACCCTGAAGAGAGTGGAATGGGGTGGAGTGTGCTTATGTGTGCTCTGCTGACATGCATAATGACCCAGAACACAGCCCCCACACAGACAGGGAGTTGCTTATACTAAGATGCAGGAGACAATGCCCACTTTTTATTTTAAATTTGATTTCTGATTAATATTTTACACTTTCATTTTGTAGTTGGATAGCTGTTTATTTAAAGTAAGTAAATAATATATTTTGGAGCAGAGAGTGATAGTCTACATACAATTACAGTACATACAATTACTGAAACAAATCAACAAAATGTAATTCTTCCATAAGAGTTGCCTGGAAGAAAACACTACTTACAGTTAGTTCGTCCCTGGAGAAGGCACAAATGTGTCATGTAAAGGAGGACTTCGCGTCTTATTAAAAGCTATTGAATCCTCGGAGAACGCATACATTTTACATAGAAGTAATTTTCAGTATAGAGTTGACACGCTGATCAATTAGCTAGTAGAATGATCTCCCTCAAATATTCCATGATGCCAAGAATGCAACCAAATAAGTAGCTGCTCACAATTTAAAATTCCATTGTTGGGTCTTTTAGCAAGGTTAAATTGGCTGGTTGCCAATTCAGCAAGTCCATTGGCTGCCTCCTAGTCCTGGAGAATTTAGGAATGAATTTAGCAGCTCTTCCTGTTTGCTACCTACTACAGCTGCAGGCATCTCAAAAGAGGTACAGAAGCAATTATCAGCCCTGGCAAAGTGCTTGCTTGCTGCAGGACTCAGAAAGCATTCTGTCCTGTAGGTGGCTTTCTGTTGAAATAACTGAATATACTGTGTCAAGAAAACAATATATATATGGCTGCAAGTGAAAGTTGTTGTTGGTTTGGACGATATTGACACACCCCAAATCTGGCCATCAAATGGAGAGGAGTGGTCTCTCCCCCCCTCCCCCAGATTGTTTGGCAGCAACACCTTACTAGTTAATTCACATAGGCTAAAACCATGCAGTTGATTTCCTGTGGCTGGGGCTGGGAAACCAACTGCATGATTATCACCTACACACGTTGGACATTGCATGTATAGGCAGCATTTGCATATTCCGTCCCAAGTGGATGTGCAGAAGTGAGGGCAGTGCAGCAACTGGGCAAGGAGGGCCAGCATGCTTGTGTTCACATCAATGCCTTGGCTGGCACGTGGTGGTAGGATATGAGTATTGCCCCATCTGGCCCCAGTATTCTATGATAAAAACCAGGGAACAGCTATTCAATGAGTTCACATTTATAGAAATCTTGCCTAACATTTTTTGTTTTTGTTTTTGAATCACTTCATTTGTTTTAAAAGTTAATTTAATTGTGCAGAATAGGCATTAACTAATGTGCTTTCTAAAATTTAGCATAAGCATATTTATTTTTTAGGAGGTGTCGCTGGATCATCAGGTTGGGTTTAGGCTCCGCCTTCATGATGAGGCAGGAGGAAAAGACTCCTCTGGGATGTGACTGGTTACCAATCAGCTTTTTGCTCCTGCCTGTTTCTCCAATACAGGTACAGAGAGAAAAGTGGTGGCCTTCCATCCCACCTACCACAATACATCACGGGGTTTGCAGCTGACTTCTCAGTTAATTAGTCAACTGAAGGAGGCCTTAATTGTGTCTATTGCCTCTGAGATCTCTGCTTCTCAATCTGGGAAGCAGAAGCAACCACAGCAGAGAACCCTCTCTTCCCAGACCTCCACCCCCCTTGCTGGTGGTGCTGATGGTATGCTTCCTGGCTCAACTAATCCAGAGTGACACAGCAAGGGAAGCCTTTGACCCACTGGTTATGCAATCTCATGGGGAAGGCTCCATCCCAGAGATGGAGAAGGTGGAATGGAGCAATGGTGAGATCTCTGAGGAGGAGGAGCCCCATCATATTTTTCAGGATCTCCATTATATGCCACGACTTTGCAGATCCCTGACTGCTCTAGATTTAAACTCTCCCTACCCAAAAAGTCCCCCTGCTCCTTCTAAGGAAACTTCAGTGCTCCAGAGCCACAGTCCTCTTCCAAACTACAGTGGTGCCCCGCAAGACGAATGCCTCGCAAGACGGAAAACTCGCTAGACGAAAGAGTTTTCCGTTTTGGAGGTGCCTCGCAAAACGAATCTGCTATGGGCTTGCTTCGCAAGACGAAAATGTCTTGCGAGTTCCTGGTTTTTTTTTTTCCTTTTCCCCCTCTTTTTCTAAGTCGCTAAGCCGCTTATCTGCTTATCAGATAAGCTGATAAGCTGCTAAAAGCCGCTAAAAGCCGCTAATAGCGCTAATAGCGCTAATCCGCTAATCCCATCAATGGGCTTGCTTCGCAAGACGAAAAAACCGCTAGACGAAGAGACTCCCAGAACGGATTCTTTTCGTCTTGCGAGGCACCACTGTAATTTCAACCTCCCTTCAGTTTAAAAAAAATGGCCAGATTGCAAATAAATGTTTATGTCCTCTTTAAAATCCTCCTCAGTGGACAAACCAGTCGCCATTTTAGTTTCTAGAAATCTGCTTCCTAAAAAAGGTGACTCTGAACTAAAGGACACCATGGAGAGATGAATAGACTTTGCCTTGCGCAGACTTCATGAGGCTGCTGCTTTTCATTTAGATAAGCTTGTGTTGCCTCCATTTTCTCAAGGGCATTTATCATATGGGTTGAATTATGGACTAGCCCACAGCAGGATCCTGCCATGGGTAGACAATCCCTGAAAAAGTTGTGCAGGGTTTGTCTACCCCTGGCAGTATCCTACTGTGGGTTATTCAATAATTCACTTGTCTTCAGTTCTTCTCCAGTTATTGCCAGAAAATAAGTATTGATCTCTAGATTCTGAACTCTTTAATGTATGGATACAAAACAGAACTTTTGGCTCAGCCATGCCTCCATTTTGTCCCATCACCAATCTCCAAGGATCATGTGACAGTGTGTACACCAGCTTCCCAGCAGATGAGCAATTCTGTTCAATTTTCTTTTGTGTTTCTCAAAAATTACCTCAGCAAGTGGAGGTCCTAGACCTCAAGTTCCTGAACTGCTAGGTAATCTACAAGAAGTTCTGCATGGAATTCCTCTCATCAGCTGAAGAAACCCTTAAACAAAAGCGGTTATGAAAAATCTATAGATCTTCAGGACATGTACCTTCACATTCTCATTCACCCTTCACCCTTCCTACAGGAAATATCTCAGATTTGCACTGGGAAAGCTTCATTTCCAGTACAACTTGCTTCCATCCAGCCTTGTATCAGCATCCAGAGTATTCACAAAAATTATGGCGATCTTGGTGGCACACCTCCGCCTCCACAGCGACCATATTTATCCATACCTAGACGACCTGTTCCTGAGAGTGCGGTCTGTCATTCTGGCACAACAGCGGTTGGAATCAACTCTATCAGCCTTACAGAGACTTGGCTTTGTTATTGGACGAAGAGTCAACTCACCACCACCACCACCCCACAATTGCTGACTTATCAGGGGGATAGACATGCCTGTAGGGCACCTATTCCTCCTCCCAGAGTGCTTCATGGTGGACTTCAACCTGCAGAAAGGGACTCTATCCTGTGATCCACTGCACACAGTAATAACCAGAGACACCAGCCTACAGGGATGGATGACTCACTGCAATGGACAAGCAGTTTTGCATTTCACACCACACTTGAGGATCAAGCATATTTTTCTGCTCACTGATTTTCTGCTCACTGTGTGCGTATATCAAAAACAGTGGCACCAGGAGTTGAGACTTACAGGCAGAGATTTTTCTGCTATTCCAGTGGACAGAACATCTTCTCAGCCTGCCAACAGAGCACATCTCAAGAGTGTTCAATGTACAGACAGATTGGCTAAGTTGCTTCAGGCTGGATCCCGGAGAATGGACTCTGCACTCCCCATTTTTGTGCCTGCTTCAGTTTCACATGGTACTCTGCAAAGAGGATCTCTTCGCTAGTTGGGGAAATCACCAACTTCCTA